CGAGCTCAGATTGACTGGGAGCAAGGAAGGTGGGACAATGTCATAGTTAAGGACAAGGAATGCTTAATCACATGGTACAAAAGTCCGATGCCCGCTACTTAACTTGTTAAGTACGGGTTTGTCAAGCGATGCCTCAAAACTGACTTTTTTAACATGTACAAACAAGAACGTGACCCAGTGGCAGTGATCTACTCGAGGGTCGTGTTTGGCTCCCCTTGTGATCACCGAAACACAGATTTTCGGTTCGTTTCACCTCATCGAATCCCCCCAAAGTCATGTTGAAGTCATGTCCCGATATTACCTCGACGCTGCCCCAGTCACAGCTACTGTTGACGGCGCAAGTCCATTCTCCTTGCACCGCACTTCTCGGGCCACCGTTTTGTTCGGCCTTGTGAAAGGACCAGGCGCAGGAAAAGATTCTGAATGTTCGGCGGAGCGTCAGTAGCGGGCCCTGCTGCTCGCCGGCCCTCCAGCTTATCTAATATACCGTTTCCATCAACTCCTGTGTCACATTCTCAGGAATGACCCATATCGTCCAACAGAATGACATTGCCAAATCACAATTGCTGCGAGATGGAAAACCCACGAGGCTGGTGTGCAACGTAAATTGAAGTTTGTTGTTGTGCTCTCGCATGCGGCTCAAACATTTTGACCATCGCCTAACTCTATCACTTGGAATTGGGGCTAGATTCGGGTGGTTTGTATCGTGGAATAGTATGGAGTGCGAATCATATAATGAAATGGAAATAATCTGAGGAAGATCTGAATGGAATTGGCGAGCTGAAGCAGGAGAAATCAAATGACAAGCAAGATGTAAAGCAACACCAAAAAGACACAAAAAAGACGCCGTGTGAAGCGAGACTGCGAAGGAAAGGAAGCGATGCCGAAAAGTAAAGTAAAGGGAGATGGAGGCAAGCCGAGAAACTATGTTCACCAGTTCACATACTGTCTTTTTTCGACCACAAGTTCATTCCCACACTCGTCATGTGACATGTCACGCTATTTTTTTAGTTCAAAGCCTCGGATCAGTTTTGACTTTCCGCTGTGCTGCATCCATTGCTCAAACGCTGGCTGAAGCCTGAGCCAGAAATGCACTATCTCCCTTGCTTGGTGCTCCAGCCATTCATTATCTCCCTCATTACAATGATCTTTGGTCACTTCCGTACAGATAGCGAGGTCTGTCGCCCACCAATGCACCAAGCCGACATCCAGCTAACATCCAGCCAGCCTAAGGTAAGTCATTTTGATGCTATCTTCATGTTGAACAGTACGGTCTGGTCCTGGACTGTTTCTGATCTCTTGTATGTCACTATTTATACCAGTCTGATCTTTAGTTACAAATCAGCTTTTTGTCCTCCTCCTTCATCTCGTACCCCCAGCATTTAGCTCATTATCAATACTATCCGCTTTTACCTTTGCTCAGTCCCACGTTCATCCGAGCCACTGCGCCACTTCGTTTAACACTTCAGCCTGCACCAAAGTTCATCTCCAATAATTCACATCCATCGCTGCTCAAACCAGCAGTTTCAGCATCACAGTCTTCTGATTAGGACCAGGCAAGACTAGAGAGAGAAGCAATTGACTTGTTCAAAGTTCAATTCGGGGTGGGGTAATATGAGATAAAATGATATCAAAATTTCGACCTCAACGGTTCCAAATTGAGATCCCGCTCCTGGCCGGCCCACACTCCGCTGTCAGGTCACCTTCCCGATGCAGCTTCAGAGCGCAAAGAGGGAATGGGCAACTCAGGTCCTCGGAACCAGTCAGACTTGAATTCCATATATCGGCCCGCTATGTAGTGACTGGAGGGAATATGTATTATTAGGATGACCTCTCGTCACAGTGAAGTATCGACCCTGAACCTTTCCAGTCAGGTCCGCAACCTGTCAGGTCGGCTGTACCCAACCTTTGCCTTCGGAGTAGGAACTTCAAAGTAGAAAGTTGTTGATGACACATATCACATGTCTGAAGTAGGTTGTTGGAATTTCCGCTGCTGTTGAGGCAAGTTTGAATTGTTCTTAAGAATATCCATTGAAGCTTGAAGTGGTTGAATGAGATGTGAGCAAGTTATCTAGCAAAGAGTGGCGCATATCTTGGTGTGACAGGGCGGTCACACAAATCAGACCCAAACTTTTTGACTAAATGACTTGGTCAGATTCAACTTTGGTCCCAAACCATGTTGCATATAACTCTATTCTAAGTATTACTTTGATTCTATGGGAGCCGAATTCGGCCAAAACATCCCAAATATATTATATTCATTTATTTCAAACAAATTACCCAAATATGGACGGGTCACCTGACATAGGTGGGAGATGGATGTCGCCTGCCTTGGAATGATATGGACAGAATGCAACCTGAATTTTGAGAGCTGGTCTACAACAAGAGCTTCTGTTTATAGGGATAAATAAAAAAATAGTACCTAATGAAACCATTTTGTCTGACTCTTCTGGTGTCTTGTGTTAGGATTCAACCAGGTTCCCAAGTGCAAGCAGTTCCATGAAGAAAAGACCGATTAGAGTTTATTGCGAAAGGGTAAAAGGGTAAGCAACATTACATGAAACATGGCCTTATACACGAGATTCCGTGTGAAATAACTACGGTTAAATGATCCGAGGAAATCCAATGAAACCCGAAGCTCGAGCTCGCCCCGGGAACAAAGTACGAACAAATGTTCGTCTTGACATCTTGGGACGCATGACCTTGACATGACCAGTCCTGATTGGTCAATGGTCCACGCTGCAACCTCATGTTCACTGTCAGCTGCACTTTGTACTTACTTCCATCAAGCAGCTCTCCCTCATTTTCGATGACAATGGCTGTGCAAGTAGACCTGAAAGAGAACTATATTGGTAGGTCTATGCGAGCCAATGGAGTCAAGGAAAGTCCTCAACATTTTTGTAGGGACTGTGGGTCGTGATGTGGCCTCTCACAATGTCGGTCAAAATTATGGCAATATCATCCATCATGCTCCTGGTAATATTTCTTGATTTCTATTATGGAATATGGCATTTATGTTTTTCCAGCAGTGACCAGGCGGCTCAAGGATCTTGCTAGACATGACACAGCATACAATTCCCATGAGCGGGAGCGTGAGGAAGCATCAATTTGTGCACCAGAGACAAGAAAAGAAGTATTAAAGCAGCTTCACCAATGGGGTCAAGGTCACGGTGAACCAGTCTGTTGGCTTTCTGGTCCAGCAGGAGCTGGGAAATCCACTATTGCTCATACTGTGGCTCAACAGTGTGATGAGAACCATTGTCTTGCCCTCAGCTATTTCTTCTCCAGACGATATTCCACCCGCAGCAACCTGTCTGCATTCATCCCTACCTTTGTCTATACACTGGCCAAGAGCACAGGTATCACTTCTATTGAGCACCAGGTTGATGAAGCCCTTGAAACTGGCAATGCAGGACTTTTTCACCAACATCTTAAAGGTCAACTTACAAGCATTGCTAGTATCATCATCCCCATTCTTGAAGCCAGACCTCCAGCTCTCCCTATTGTTGTTGTCATTGATGGGCTTGATGAATATATTCAGGATGAGGGCAAAATCCACCTGGATCATCTAGTTCAGATCCTCATTGACACAATGGTGAAACAACTCAATTTTCGCATCCTCTTCACAAGCCGACCAGAAGCTGACATTACTGAGATGTTTGATCTAGTCACTTCAATGTCTCATATGGCTCTCCAGGACTTTCCGGCTATACAGGATGTGGAGAACTATCTGCTGCCCGAGTTCCGCAAAATTGCACAAAGACGGAAACTTGGTGCAGACTGGCCTGGTGCGGGCATTGTGACTCTCTTGGCTGAAAAGTCAGAGGGAATATTTGCCTACGCCTCAACACTTGTCAGATTCATTGATGACAAATACGGAGACCCACGGCGTAATCTGGAGAGTGCCAAACAGATGCACAAAGGCTTGGACTCACTCTACAAGCAAGTGCTAAAGGATGCCAAATCTTATCCAAATTTTGAACTGGTTATTGGTGCTATTGCCCTCTTCCATGAAAAAATTCCAATTTATGCCTTTCCTTCACTTCTTGATCTTGAGTCAGTCAGTGATGTGCACCTGGCATTGCGTGGATGCCTTTCTATTATGATTCTTCCAAAACTGTCCAGAGGCATCATTATACCATATCACACCTCTTTGCCAGACTTTTTGGAAGATTTAACTAGGCACCAACATCAGTTTTTCAAATCTGCAACTGTCCACCGACACATTCTTCTCAGCTGCATAACCTGCATTGTTCATTGTCTACAGGTGTTCATCTCTCTTGGGCTGGGTCATGTTGCAAACTATGCTTTCCAGAGCTGGGTTTATCATTTTAATGGAATCTTGGCTGCTTATGATCAAGAGAGCATCGAGAGTTCTGAACTTGAAGCAAGAGTTATCAAATTACTCCAAATTTTGATACCAAATATCAAAATGTGGATTCGTTTTCTAAACTCAACAACAGAGTTCAAGAGTGACCTGGAATTGGCAATTAAACGATCCAAGGTGAGCTCTTCTTCTGGCTACTATTTAGGTAAATTGTTCTCAATCTGACACTAGTATGTCCTACCTAAAGTAACACCCCATTTGGACCAGCTTATGATATGTATCAAGGTAGATCCCATAGTGATGGCATGTTGGCAGTCAGACTGAATTTTTTGTCTAATTCTAGGAATATCAAGAAAAACCTGGGGGTGGATACTAGTAGCCAGGAGGGTACAAGCACTTCCTCTGTCCATCTGCATCAGGTTCCACCTTGGATGACCTTGATGTATTAGCTTCAACACAGGCTGTTCCCTTACAGTCAGCAATTGTACAGATTGAATTTGAAACCTTCCTACTGCTTTATCTCAAACTACTTGGGATCCTTTTTTGACTGTGCACCAAGAAGCTTTTAAAAATGGATTACAACTTCCAAGCATCGCAATCCTTGTCCCTCACTCAATACTCCGGTCAATCAGACTCTCCAAACGAATATCCCATATCCCGCACTCTCATCATTGGTTCGATGGCGTAGTTGGTTATCGCATCTGTCTAACATTTCGCAGAAAGTTTACTGCACAGAAGGTCCTCAGTTCGAACCTGGGTTGATTCATACCTTTTGGATCATGTTTTGTCTTTCATGAAGAGCCTTGACCAACCAAGAGACAGACCCATTAGCAGACCAAGAAAACCCAAAATCCCACTTGAGCCATTGCGTCGCGTCTTCACACTCCCCAACGAGGATGTTGACCTCAGATGCATTTACAACCCAGAATCAGCAACAAAATATAACTTGAAATGCGACTAGTAGCGGTGAGTATTATACATGTATGTAGTAAGTAATCGTTATGCGTATCTCCGGTATGTTTTGAAGACTTTTAATGAGCCTATGAGACCGTTCGAACGAATCTATAAATCCTCATCCTCCTTCGCCATCAACCCCACTGCTTCCTCTCCTCTTCCTCTTCTACTTTCTCTCAGACTCGTTGTACTCTGAGACTGCGAGTGCGAAAGAGACTTGGACTGGGCCTCAAAAGCAAGAGACGACGGATGCTGATGATGATCCACGTCTTCGTCTTCTCCTTCTAGGTTGATGTCTTCATAACCCCTCCTCCTGCGTTCAATATCACCGATTCGTAAGCTTTCTGCATCCTCGTCTCCCTCCAACTCGCTCCCCTCGCCCTCGTCATCACTCGCCTCCCCAACAGCCCAAAGCCTCTCCCCCTCCTGATCGCCGTCTTCATCCACGATATCCAGTTTCGATGAATTCTTCTTCTTGCTTTTCCTTAACCCAGTCCTTGACCCATTGCGTGGCGTCATCCCCAATGCACCTCTCCCATTTACCCCCAAAGCAGATCGTGGCATAGCTGAACGTGGCCCGGCCCCAGGCTCCGGCTTCTTATGCGTCAAAAGGACCACCCCCGATATCAATATCAATATCGACACAAAGATGAGGAAAAGCGTCCACGATTGATACGCGTCGACTTCGTCGTTGAAGATCAGGGAGTTGAGGAAGCTGACGAAGACGTTAGATATACCGACAGAAACAAGAGAATAAAAAAAAGGAAAAAGAAGGAAGAAAGAAACGCTCACCCAGTAGCCGTATAAACGCCATAAAACACCGGCACCACCAATGTCGAATCATACACCTTTAATCCTCGATTCAGACATATGATCTGCAGAACCGCAGTGACAACGAGGAGTATGATAGTGAATACAGGCGCAGCATGACCGAATTGGTTGCCCGGGTTTTCGTGTGACAGGGATCCGGAGAGGAGTTTGACGCTGCACGGGGAGATCAATATCAACGGCAAAGAGACGATAGAGGGATGAAGAAACAAGAGAGACGAAAGATAGAAAGTGAAAAGAGAAGACGTACATGGCCTTTGCAAAAACCAAACACCCCCCAGCCAATCCACCGCCACAACACGCCCATCCAATCCCAAGGGTCCAAGCAATGGTCTTATCATCCTTCCTCACCGTCCACATCTCCAAATACTCTACAATGGTCTTCATCGTCCAATTCCACAGCGCCACAATCCCAGCGATAGCCCTCAAGACCGGATTCCGGCGTCTTCCTATTGGGGTAATACTGCTTGTCGCCCCGCTAAATCCTTGTGCTCCCGCAAACGGCACCGAAGACACATCACTCCGTCCAACCAAAACCGCATCCAACTTTAACGTGAACAACAGCAACAATCCCAGGGCCAGCGTCATGACGAAAAAGAAGCCAAGCCAGCCGCCGCGCCGCCAGAGAATCGTAAGCCGGGCAACGTCAGATTCGGTCGCAAGGCCGGAGTTTATGGAGCCGAATGCGACGATGCCGATTACGCCGAGGATGACGATGATGGTGCCCTGGCGATAGCGAGCGTCGGTGAGCCATAAAGAGGTCGAGCAAAGGCGGAGCCGGAGCGAGAGAGGGAAGAGACGGAACAAGTCAGTAAGAGCAAACCTATAGAAGAAAGCGACTCACATAAATATCAGTACTCGTAACAGGCGTCCCAACCAGGAATCTCGCGAATAGGAAATTGAATACGAGAGAGGTAGACCCGAGGGGGGCGACATATTCTGGGGAAGATGATCGTCAGTTATATTCGTCAGAGAAAGTGAAACGCAAGGCGAGAAGCGTGAAGATAAAAGGATACGGTTGAAATCCAAAATAGCGAGGTTTGGTATCTGGAAATGGAATAGAATACGATTCGTATAATGATAGGGAATGCGAGTCGTATGCATGCAGATTGTTGGTGGATAACTCGGGGGATTTGGCGAGGTGAGGCAGGAGGAATCGAATGGAAGCAAAGAGGAATCGAATGAAAGCAAGATGTAAAGCGACGCCGATAGAACGACGAGCACAATGATACGAATCGGAAATGGAGGGGATTGGATTCGTCGGAGATAAAAGAAAATGGCGAGAATTCATAAAGGGATGATTTGGTATCGGTATTGGTATGAAATGTGAATGAATACAGATGATTTTGTGAAGAGTCAGGTCGAATGGAGGGGAGAGGTCGAGAAGGAGCGAAGCGACACGAATAGCAATGGAATGAAACGACATGATTCTCGACAGGATGGAATAAGAGAAAAAAAGAAACGGCGCTCACCAGCTCGCATATACTCAAGCGCCAACGTGCTCCCTATCAATTGCGAAAGACTGTGAAGGGCGTCAATCTTGGTTCCAAACGACGGATAGAGACGAGAAGGAGATGCATCGATAGGATTCGGCTGGAAAAGAAAAGCGAAAAGGTAAAAGTGGAAGATGACTGTATGAGACGCGTTCGCAGAAGCTCTTCGTCCGAGAGCGTCGCAGAAGAAAAAGAACCAGAACGAAGAGATGACGCACATATATAACAACATCCCGAGTAACCACAGCGGCCGTAACCAGTCTCGTTTGCGGGAGGCTTTGGGGATGGCAGATGTCCGGACCTGGCGAATCAGCGTCAGCGGGTTCGAAGGGAGCGGCAATAATAAACAAAGGTGAGGGCAGCAGAGCAATGGGAGATAAAGGGAGCGAGGAAAGCAGGAGCAAAAGGACAATAGCGAAGAAAGAGCAAAAGGGAGCAAGAGCAAAAGGGAACCGACGGAAGGAAGAGCGAACGGAGAGCAAGAGCGGAGAGCGAAAAAGAGCAAAAAGAGAGACGAAGGAGTAAAGGCAAAAGGAGCAAGGGGAAGGGAAGAAGGGAGGTAGACGACAGGGAAATAGGAAGAAGAGCGAGAAGGAAAGAAAAAAGAAGGGGGAGAGGGAGACGAAGGCAGAACACGGTTGGCTCATCTTCTCTTCTCTTTTGTTACGACGACGCCCACGTCTCGTCAACAAAACGACCTCTAGTCCAACCAAAACAGCAAGCCCGCCCGACGAAAAGGGCCTTCTCGTGTCTTCTTCTCTCTTCTCTCTCCTCCGCAAATGCACCACGAACCAGAGAAAGAAATACGGCGGAATAAGAAAACAACAAAAAAAAACCGACGTACATGATCCAACTTTGTCAAATTCAACCCCGCCGCATTCAATATAGACGCCATTAAGATGATGGCGAGACCGATAATAAAAGCAACGACGGGGTTAGCGTGACGGATGCTGACTGGTGGTTCGTTGGCTGGTATCGGTATTGACGTTGGTGAGGCCAACGCCGAGCTTGTTGATATTGACGAAGACCATGATGCTGATGCTGTCGAGGATATTAACGAAGATAATGAAGATAATGTAGCCATATAGATTGAATTCTAGGCGTCCAGGTCGTAATGCGAGCCCGTCGAGGTCGTAATGCAACAGACGTGGAGAGGTCGTGAGCGGACGAAGGAGGCGGTGAAATTGACGACGATCACGTGGGTGTCTGGGGACCTCGGCGACCAATGACGTACGTGGGATTTGTCAGTGTAGTTTGGGTGAGTCGGATTTGTCAATGTGATTGGACAAAGCATGGGAGAGATTTGAACGAGTGGAAGTAATCAGAACGCGAGTCTGACGAGAGGCTAAGCGGGTAATTGAGGAGTACGACTCGATGAGTCCAACAGAATTGGCCTCTGCAGTACTGATTTTCGTACTGCGAGTTTATTGGGACCGCTAGTCCAGGTGCTTTTCAGCGCCGGCGGTGCTCCGTGGAAAGCAGAGGTCTGACTTCAACAGCGCAGCGTGCGGTCCGACCCCGACTCGCTCCGGCAAATCCCGAATCCTCTGCTATTCAGTCCACTTGTTCTTCCTAGTTTTAGAAGATCCTTTATCTATACAGTTCATGGAATGGAGTCCTTACCAAGTGCATATTCATAGAGTCTGCGAGATGCGCCTCAACAGACACCGCGCTTTGTTCAAGCGTGATTGGATATGGGATCAAATCGTCGTAGTAGAGGGACTTGGAGGACTCGGATGAGCATCATGAAATGCAAGACTCGTTCAAACGCTATACAGCGTCCTGTCCTGTTGCTCTTGCTCTGTAGCAAAAAGCGAAAATAAAGTGCATAAATGAAAGTAAAGCCTGTCATGAAGGATGGATGTCAGGCCACAGGCCCAGGTCGCAGTTTCATAGGTCCAGTTTATTTGATCACCAGGTTTCCTTCCCTTCACTAACAAATCAGGCTTTGTTAGGTTGTCACACCTTGAGGCCATAGGTTTGGGATCCCAAGGCTATAGGATCACCACAACCCAAGGCTATCACCGCTCCCGATCGTCAACTTGCTCAATGGATGGTATCGTTGTAGAAACCAAATCGCCATCCCCTGGAGTCCTAGAAATTTTTCATGGAGTCCTGGTATTTTTCACAGCTAGCGCTAAAGCCAATGTACATGACAGATATATCTTTGATGAATTCTATCATATCATGTCTTTGACTATGCAGATCGAGACATTTTGTGCCTGAATACTACATGTACGCAAGGCTGGGTATGGATCGTCAATTCATTGGTGGAGAAAATGGATGGGACAATCAATGCATGATTATAGATGATATTGACAAATGAGGCGCATCAGGCTGGTTGCGAATGAACCTTTTCTGGATGGTAGTTTTTCTTTTCTTCTCCGATTTTCCTTGAATGTCCTGGCGTCTGAATACCGAGTTGGCCATGTTGGGGTATCGATGATCGTTGATTCAGGAGAATCAGGGCCGGTAAGTTAATACTTGCTGG